ACTGAAGAGTCTGTTGATGAAAGTGAAAGAGAAGAGTGAAAAAGTTAGCTTAAAACTCAACATTCAGAAAACTAAGATCATGGCATCTGGTCCCATCACTTCATGGTAAATAGATGGGGAAACAATGGATACAATGATGGACTTTATTTTCTTGGGCTCCAAAATCACTGCATATGGTGACTGCAGCCATGAAATTAAAAGATGCTTGCTCCTTGGAAGAAAAGCTATGACCAACCTAGAAAACATATTGAAAAGCAGAGACATTACTTTGCCAACAAAGGTCTGTCTAGTGAAAGCTATGGTTTTTCCAGTAGTCACGTATTGATGTGAGAGTTGAACTATAAAGAAAGCTGAGCGCTGAGGAATTGATGCTTTTGAACTCTGGTATTGGCGATGACGCTTGAGTCCATTGGACAGCAAGGAGATCCAACCAGTCAATCCTAGAGGAAATCAGTCCTGAGTATTCATTGGATGGACTGATGCTGAAGCTGAAACTCCAATACTTTGGCCACCTGATGGAAAGCACTGACTCATTTGAAAAGACCCTGATGCTGGGAAAGATTGAAGGCGGGAGGAAAAGGGGACGACAGAGGATAAGATGGTTGGATGGCATACCAACTCGATGGACATGTTTGAGTAAGCTCTGGGAGTTGCAGAAGTCTGGCGTGCTGCAGTCCATGGGGTTGCAAAGAGTCGGACACGACTGAGCGATTGAACTGTACTGAACTGAACCATCAAGTGTCAGTCTTATTTCCAAGCTATGTATGAGGGCCTATTTGAAGTAAAAATGCTAAGTTTAGAGATGGGGGATGAAATCTGATTTTGATAAGTGCAACCAAAATGGCATTCCATAAGTGGAAGCAGAAGTCAAATTAGGTTTCTAGAGGGAAGCTATTGGTAAAGAAATACCTGGAATATCTCCCTGTGTTTAGAAGGCAGATTCTGTGTTCAGTGACAGAAATCATTTTAGAAGTTCAGAGTAAAAGTGCATGGGTAGAATTGTGTCTTTTATGAGTTCTCTGGTTTGAGTGCTGTCTCTTGGAGACAGTCTCTTCATTAATACATGTTAGTGTCTCAGCTCAGTAAGGCTTATAAGGATCAAAAATCTAGATACTCTGGTAATGGGGTACATAGTGGTTTAAAACACACCCTTGAGTTGGATTGGTTTTGAATTCTGGCACTATTTACCAAATTTGTATCCAAATTTATTAACTCCTTGAGCCTCATCTGTGAAATGGGATTTATAATAGTATTAACAGGGTTATTTGATGGTTAAGTGAGTTCATCTGCGTAAAGCAGTCAGAACACTGATACATGAATGCTAAGTCACTTCAGTTGTCTCTGACTCTTTGTGACCTTATGGATAGTAACCCGCCAGGCTCCTCTGTCCATGGGATTCTCCAGACAAGAATACTGGAGTGGGTTTCCATGCCCTGCTCCGGGGGAATCTTCCCAATCCACGGATTGAACCCTCCTTTCTTAACATTTCTTGCACTGGCAAGCATGTTCTTTACTTCTAGCACCACCTGGGAAGCCCTGACTGATGCATCATGGTAAGACCTATTTAAGTGTTAGCTATCATTATTATTGTCAGTCTTGTTCTTACCTCTTTGCCTAATCTGCTTACACCCAGTTGCTGGGAATGATTTGCAGGATATACTTTGTACTCTTTGCTGTCAGTACCATGGGAAAGATCCATTCTTTTTTTTTTTTTTTCCCAGTCAATCAACATATTTTAAGCATCGGTCCCCCTGCAGTGTCCTAGATGTGGGACTGCAGAGATGTCCAGGAACCTAAGACTTGATTCATTGAGTCAGATCAGTGCTTTGGAGGGTTGGTGAACACCGGACTCTTTTAAGTGGCTGTCTTGAAAGGTGTATGTCCCAAACATAGCTCTATGAGAAGCAGCCTGAGCGGTGCAAAAGCATGTAGGAGTCAGTAGATCTGGGTTCAAACTCTGGTGCACTCTCTTACCAGGCTATGGCTCAGAACCTGTCCCAATCTAATGATACCAGCTACCTCACAGAGTTATTGTGAAAATTAAATATTAAAGACAAGGTGTATATAAATCCCCGGTACAGAGTAGGTTCTCAATATTGACTGTCACTATTATAAATCTGTAGGCCATGAGCTCATTTTACCTTTGTGGAACCTGTTGATATGCTTTGATTATGACTTAGGGGGGTTATTTCTCAGCTGAGCCACTGGTTTCCTAAGTTGGGCAAAACTAGCTGTTCCTCTCAACCCTGCCACTGACTATCTCTGTGACTTACCCTTCCTTGAGCTTTAGTCTTGTCACGTATAAAATGGAGATGATTATGCTTCCTACATCTCAGGGTTGATTGCAGGATTAAATAAAATAATCCATTTATAAGGTGCCTGTTACACACTGGACTCGAAATAAATGGTAGCTACTATTTATCCCAAAAGTGTACATGGTAGTTTCAGAGCTTCAAGGTTGATGACTATCTTACTCATACTCTTTATTTAATTTTGATTTTATTTTTTGGAGTTCTTTTCTGAATTTATTCACAGTTAAGCTGCCTTTTAAAAGTTGTACTCCCTTTTGTTAATATTTGTAAGTGATTTTATTTAGCTATAAGCTTGGAATGCATACAATTTTGTGTTCTGCTTTGTTCACCTAATGTTATATGGTTAATAGTATCTGTATTTCATAAATGTTGTAATAACTGTATAATGTTAAGTAGATGTGCCATAATTTAATCATTCCCCTATTGCTGTGCAATTAAGTTGTTTCCAATATTTTCCAATTATACTGTCTAAATGGACGAATATCTAAACATATGTAGCTTTTTGATATTTTAAACTTAGTTCTGTGGGATGAATTCCTAGGAATATTCTTTGGTCAAAGGGGATAAACATATCTTTTGAATACATATGGCTAAGTTGCTTTCCTAAAGGGCTCAACTGACTTACCTTTCCGTCCTTATTGTTTTGTAAACTTCACTTCATTCTCTCACTCCACATACATTTTAAAGCCCTTATCTTGAGGCAGGCTTAGTGAGAAGCAGGTGACACGGGGAGAAGCTCCTGCCACGCCAAGTGCTGATGGAGGCTCAGGGCACCTGGGGAGCCCTTGGAGGGGCCTGCAGCTCAGTGGGTAGAATGTTGCTTCTTTGGGATTATTTACAGAAATACTTAGCAAGACCAGCCCCATCTTTGCTCTTGGAGATCCCACTGATAGCATGCATTCTTCCAGAGAAGGACCTATGTGTCTGTTTTTTCCTGATGTGCTATCTAGAGCAAATTATTCCTCATAGTTATATGGTAGCAGTGTTTTTAGTTCTACAAAAAAAGTAATATATGCTCATTTTGGAAAATTTTGAAAACACTGGAAAGTGTTTTTAAAAAAAAAATCACCCATGCATGTTCTTACCGTCCTAGGACATCCACTGCTCTCATCCATATATTTCCTTCTATAAAGAAGATTTAAAAAAGAGTTTAATGTAGAACCATATCAAAGGTCTTTGGAATCTAAAATATCAGAAATCCAACAACAAATAAAACAAAGAAAGAAACCAAGCTGAAGCAAGGTTAAATTAATTATGATCTATTCATAGTGTGGAGTATCAAGTGGCCATCAAAATCCATATTTTAAGAGAATATTTTATGTCATGGGGAACACTCCCAGTATGATATTCAATGAAAAAGCAAAATAAAAAATTACACATGCTGTATAATCTTAATTTTGTAAAGAAAAAATATTGTTTATGTATGAATAGAAAAGAAAGACAAAAATATTAATGGAGAACCATTATTAGCTTAATTTACTAGGGATTATCTCCAGGAAGTAGGATTAACAGTGATTTATATTTATTTTTTTCTACTTTTCTGTATTTTTTTAATTTCAAAATTTTCACAATAAAAATGTATGGACTTGGGGATCAAAAAAAATCTATTTAAATAAAAGGAAAGATTTCATATCTGTGTTCTCTTGGCTTTATGGCTCTGAAGACACAGTTGTAGTTACCCTCATCCACAAGAGCCCGAGATTCTTCTGGGCTTTTGGTATTCTTCCTAATTAGAACATCGGAGTCTAGAACTGAAAGGAATGGTAGAGGTGAGGCTTCAGGCAGTGGAACTAGTTGTCTGAACACCACTGGTTCAGTTAGATTATGTCTCATGATTTCTATCCTGTCCCTATGCTTATTTATCCCCTGGTAGCTCACCGAAGCAGATCTTTCCTTTAGAGAAACCCCATTGCTTTAACCAGTCACTAACACTTATGTTCAGTGGTCATCTAACTCACTGGAGAAGATGGTGACCAGATCGGGACAGATGGGGAAGGCCTCTGCACTCTTCCCGGATATTTCCAGCCCTGGTGGCACACAGGTCCACGTGGAACTGAGTGTGAATTTCCATTATCCTTTGGAGCCTTTTTCTCAGCCCCACGGGAGCAACCTCACTTGTGTCTTTAGAGCTGAGCTGGTGTGTATTTAGCACAGCAGTTTGCAAGGCTGTCTTCTTTCACCAAATGGTCATAACATACCTAACACCGTGCTAAGGCTGTGGAGGTTCAAAGGTGAGCTAATCCAGTGCTTGCTTTCAGGGTGCTCATATGTAGTGAGGAAGCCAGTAACAAAAACACGATTTCAGGGGCTCAGGGAAACTGTTATGGGAGGAGGATTCATGGGTTACTCTGGGAGCACAGCAGAAGGGCTTCCCGCTCTGCCTGAGATTTTAGTAAAGGAAATTGTGCCTGGTTGAGTCTTGAAGGGTGCGTGGAGGTGAGCCAGATGAAGCAGGATGGGAGGCATCTTCCCTTTCTTAGAGAGAACACAGAGGTATGGAATAATAGTAAGGTGTATAAGGTGAGAACTACAAATGGTTCAGTAGCATTAAAGCTTAGAGAGTGGTAAGAGAGGCCGGATAAGTAGGTTCATGGTTTAGTTCATCTTTTCATGGATTTCCCAAAGCTCAATAGTGTTAGGCACCCATGTTTGTTTAATTCACATTGCTTTGTCTTATTTTCCACTCAGTGTCAGCTGTTTCTGGAAGTGGCCTGGCCTCTATTCATCTTCCTGATCCTGATCTCCGTGCGGCTGAGCTACCCACCCTATGAACAACATGAATGTGAGTATCTGAGCATCCCGCCTGAGGCTCACCACTGGCAAGCAAAATTCAGGCAAAGGGCAGGGACTAAATGTGACCTTTCCTGTGGCTCTATCTTTAGGAAACTTGGAAAATGATTTGGAACAGAACAGCTAGGCTTCCGATTATTTGATAAGGCATCAACTCAGGAAACCATTTTCAGCCCTAGTGAATGGTGATAATGGTAATTATAATAATAGCTGACATCTGTTTCATACATTTTCAATCATGAAAATAAAATAATCTTACTGATAGCTCAGAGAGGGGTGATTAAAAAAGCTCCCTAAGGCAATACCTTAACATCCCTGTCATCTGGTCCCTGCCAGGCATTTTCACATACATTATGTTTTTATCACTCAGTTGCAAATCATGGAACATATAATTTTAAGCAACATTTGTGTAGAATATCTCAGATCAACTAATATTATTCCATTTGATTCTCATAAAAACCTTATATAATGGACTTTATCATTGTGATCATTTGCTTTAATTTCTTAATAAGTAAATAGAGATCAGAAAAGTTCAGGGGCCTGCCTGAGGTCACATATCTATTAAGTGACAGCAATTCAATAAAACTCAGGTCATTTGACTCCCAATCATGTGTTTGGATGATGGCCTTTTCAATGAGCATAGCGAATACAATAGTGGCTAAGAACACATGCTCTAGATGTCAGGTAACCTGGTTTGAATCTTGGCTTCAACACAGGTAGTCACCTTGGGCAAGTGACTTAGGTTCTCTTTACTGAGCTTACTCATCTCTATAAAAGGGGAATAGTGCTTACCCCATATGTTTGTTGTGGGGCTTCCTTGGTGGCTCAGATGGTAAAGAATCTGCCTGCAACACAGGAGACCTGGATTCAATCCCTGGGTCGGGAAGATTCCCAGGAGAAGGGAATGGTTACCCACTCCAGTATTCTTGCCTGGAGAATTGCATGAACAGTGGAGCCTGCTAGACTATATAGTCCATGGGGTTGGAAAGAAGCGACTAACACTTTCATTTTATTTTTTCATGGTTGTTGTGAGTGTTATCCCACAATCTCAATCTTTCCCTCCTGGCTGAGCTTGCTAGATGGATTAACACTGCAAAAATGCCCCAATCTAAAAGATCAGCATTTGTGGGGGAGTTTAACTGGGACTTTTATTCCATGGCCCCTGTGACTTTTCCTGTCATTATCCAGCTTCANGAGTCCAACTCTTTGCAACCCCATGGACTGCAGCACACCAGGCTTCCCTGTCCATCACCAACTCGCAGAGCTTGCTCAAACTCATGTCCATTGAGTCGGTGATGCCATCCAACCATCTCATCCTCTGTCGTCCCCTTCTCCTCCCACCTTCAATCTTTCCCAGCATCAGGGTCTTTTCCAATGAATCAGTTCTTCACATCAGGTGGCCAAAGTATTGGAGCTTCAGCTTCAGCATCAGTCCTTCCAATGAATATTCAGGACTGATTTCCTTTAGGATAGATTGGCTTGATCTCCTTGCAGTCCACGGGACTCTCGAGAGTCTTCTCTAACACCACAGCTCAAAAGCATCAGTTCTTTGGCACTCAGCTTTCTTTATGGTCTCACATCCATACATGACTACTGGAAAAACCATAGCTTTGAATAGATGGACCTTTGTCAGCAAAGTAATGTCTCTGCTTTTTATTATTCTCTCTAGGTTGGTCATAGCTTTTCTTCCAAGAAGCAAGCATTTTCTCTAGTAGCTCAGCTGGTAAAGAACCAGCCCCATAGGTGTACTGGACACAGTTCTTCAGGGAAGTGGTGGGACTGGGTTCACATTTGAATTGTGTTCCCAGTCTGATCCTATGTCTTTCAGGGCACATACTGACAGTTATTCATCTGCTAATTTGCTAGTACACGTTATACATATTCAAGTTAAAAAAAAAACAGAACCTGAAAACATTCTACCAGATGTGATTTTCTGATTTTACCAAAAAGGAAAAGCACATACGATGAAATATATACTCAATTTGTTGTCTTTCTCTGGAATTATCACAAACAAGCAAGGCAGTGTAGTGGAAATCGCACAGAGTTTAGTATCAGAAAAATTGGGATTTGTTTGGATCCCCCTTCCTGGCTCTGCCGCTTGCTGAGGTTGTGATCTTGGGCAAGTTGTTGAATTTTGACCCAGATCTCTTTGAATCCAGACCATCCATTCTCAGAAATGTTGTGAAATTCGTATACCTAAGATAAGACTTTTGCCCTCCATCAGTGCAGTTCTTGCAGCTTTACTTCCTGTTCTCAGCCCCTTCTAGGGACCTGGCTGGAAGGGCAGAGAGTTAAGCTGATGCTTGCAGAGGTGTCTTGTCTCTGGGAGCAAGGGGTTGGTATATAATTCTTCCCCATTAATCTTTCCCAGTTTGACTCAGACCCATGAAGATCCTAATCGCTTCCCTGGATCACGAGAGTCCATCATCCCGTGCACCTGATGCCAAATCCTCATCCTGGTTTTGTCTGCAAATCAGATGGGACATGACACCTGGGGAAGGGTGTGCCCACACTCACTGGGCTGCAGCCTGAAGCACCTTGTCAGTGTGCTGGACCAACACCACCCTGCCTTTGGTGCCAGCATCTCCTGGAGGTTAAAAGGGGACAATCCCTTGGTCCTTCGAGTATGAGGAGCAGCTGACTTAGGCAAGGGACCTTGTTTGGTTTTCCTTGAACTATTAACAGGGAGATAAGGGGATTAACTGAGTAAATGCTCAACAGGCCAGAGTCCCTGCGGAGGGTGGTGGCAGGGACCAGATCTTGTTTCATCCTCCTTTTGGATGTTGCTTCTCTGGTTGCTATGTGGACAGAAGAAAAAGACAGATAAAAGGACCCCAGTATTGAAATGCAAAATGTCGCAAGTCCCGGCTATGGGTGAGCTTCTGGGGAGACTCTGCTAGTCCATTTGCATGAAAATGTAAACTGAAAAAAATGGATTTATGCCTTAGAGGGAGGTGGGGGCTGTGAGAGGGAAGGAGTGCTCCTGGCTGGGCAGGAGCTGAGGAAGTGCTGTTCCAGGCTGGCCTCCAAGCACTGCAGTAACTCTAGTGGGCCCATTCACTCATCCTTACCCTGTGCCAGGGACTCACACTTTGCCTATGAAAACTCATGTAATACTTACCATGGCTCTGCAAGATGGATTCTATTGTTATCATCATTTCATATATGAAGAAGCTGAGGGCTTAAGGGGTCACTGACTTGACCAAAGTCACTGTTTAGCAAGTTGCAGAGACTGGATGTATATCCCAGTTGGTCTGACCCTAAACCCTGTAAAGCTCTATGGCTCTTCACCACCTAGAGCCTTGGTTCTTAATGATTGTCAACTCTTTGGGGGTCACAGGTCATCCTGAGAATATGATGAGTGCTGGAGCCTCGGACTTTCTGTCACAGGAATCCACAAAAGCTTGGTCTCAAGTTAAGAGACCCAGGTTCCAGGGCATGTTTATCTTGATCTGCTTAAGCAGCTCCATGGCTCATGTCCATGAACCAAACTGTACTTTGATGCCTCTCACCAGTGCCTGTACATGCAGTCCTGCTGTTTGTAACAAGTTCCTCTGTAGTGAAGGGGAAGGAAAGAGAGGAGATGGCCTGCAAGATGGGGCTTGTTGTTTTGGTGGATAGAGAAGCAGCAACAGCAACTAATGTAGCTTCACAGATGACATTTGATCCTAAGTCAGCACCTTCATTGAGTGCCTTTGAGGAGCTTGGCAGCTAGTGGAGAAGGTGAACAGAGGACAGTAATGGGGGTATTGAGAAGAGCCAACACTTAAAGGAGTTGTTCAGTTGCTGAGTCATGTCCAACTCTTTGTGACCCCATGGATTGCAGCATACCAGGCTCCTCTGTCCTTCACTGTCTCCCGGAGTTTGCTCAAATTCATGTCCATTAAGTCGGCGATGCCATCCAACCATCTCATCCTCTGTTGCTCCTTCTCCTCTTGCCCTCAGTCTTTCCCAGGATCAGGGTCTTTTGCAATGAGTCAGCTCTTTGCATCAGGTGGTCAGAGTATTAGAGCTTCAACTTCAGCATCAGTCCTTCCAATGAATATTCAGGGTTGATTTCCTTTAGGATTGACTGGTTTGATCTCCTTGCTGTCCAGGGGACTCTTAGGAGTCTCCTCCAGTGCCACAATTTGAAAGCATCAATTCTTCAGCTCTCAGCCTTCTTTATGGTCCAGCTCTCACATCCATGACTACTGGAAAAACCATAGCTCTGACTATATGGACCTTTGTCAGCAAAGTGATGTCTCTACTTTCTAATATAATGTCTAGGTTTGTCATAGCTTTTCTTCCAAGAAGCAAGTATCTTTTAATTTCATGGCTGCAGTCACCATCCACAGTGATTTTGGAGCCCAACAAAATAAAATCTGTCACTACTTCCATTGTTTCCCCTTCTGTTTGCCGTAAAGTGATGGGACTGGATGCCATGATCTTAGGTTTTTTTTTTTATGTTGAGTTTTAAAGGAGGCCACAGGTGTAAGGGAAGGAACATGACTGAGATCACAGAAGCGAGGGTCTGCCCCTGGTCCTGCCTACTGAGTCCCTGAGTGTTCTTCATCAGCCACTTTATCTCACCATGGTTTCTTCTTTTAAATATGAAGGAAGAGGATTAAGTCATCACCAGGGCCTCTGTGTCTCCAAAGGGTGAAGGGGGTGGCAGAAGGTGAAGGAATGATGATCTCATACTTGCTGCCCTCCAGGCACCTTCTGTGTATGATCTGGCCACTTCCCCAAGGCTGGTGTCATGAATCCAACCCTACAGGTGATGTCAGGTAGATTAAGAACTGCTATCTGATGCCACATTTCCAACTCATGATCAGTCGATGGTGGCAGTTTTCTGGGATTCAGAGAATGGGACAGGTTTGGAATGGAACAATGTTTGGGTGGAACCGAAAGAGAAAAAGGTTGCTATCAAGTCCCAAATCCTTCAAAGGATTAATGTTTCTCCTTGTGTTTTTCTCTTCCTCAATTTCAACAGGCCACTTTCCAAACAAAGCCATGCCCTCTGCAGGAACTCTTCCTTGGGTTCAGGGGATCATCTGTAATGCCAATAACCCCTGTTTCCGTTATCCAACTCCTGGTGAGGCTCCGGGAGTTGTTGGAAACTTTAACAAGTCCATGTAAGTACTGGATCAGGTTTTCTTTCCCAAACTTGTCAGTTAAAACTTTCTCTTTCCTTTCTCAGACTCCGGGGAATTTTAAATGGTTGGGTTTGAGTAAAGGTGCTTTTGTGAAGGTTTGTGTGATAAAGTCCAAAGGATGAGACCAGGGAGAATTACTGCCAAAATTTAAAACCTTGTAAGCTCATTTTGGTGCATTTTTCATATAGCTGACAGTTCTGTGGTTGAGGGCCTTTCCTGAAAAAACTGGCAGGTAGAGAGGTGGGGAGAGGGGAGGAGAGGGTGAAAGAAAAACTGGCAGGTAAGTAGAGAAGGGAGACATAGCACGTCAGCCTCATGCATTAATGAGCAAACACTTATTTAGCAAATGTTTATTGTGTGCGGGAGACGGCCGGTCCAGAGGTTGGGATGTGGAGGTGTGCAGAGGATGTGGCCTGTCCTTAAGGAGCTCACAGCCAAGGTGGGGGAACTTGGTCCTTTCTGCTCTCGGATCACATTTCCTCCCTCACGTGTGCCGCATCACACTTCAGCGTCCGTCCTTCTGTCTGCAGGTCTTTCTTGGCCCTGGGTGTAACCTCCCTGAAGGCCGTCTTTCATCACTTTTGTATTCCTGGCTCATGGTTTCAACAACAGACATAAGTAGGGCTGAGTAAGTGTTTGCTGAATGAGCCATTGAAGATTTTTGGAAGACACGGAAGCATGGAGGGAGTTAGAAAGGACTAAAGATTGCAGGATACACAGCAGGACAGTTCTGAGGAAACTGCTGCTAGGCAGGCAGGGCCCCGTTATGACGTCACGGGCCTTAGCCTTCGTGACTTTCATGAACCCCTTTTCCCGTGCAACAGCTTTAAAATTTTTATTTTTTAACCATGTTGGGTATAAAGATGAGTATATTCCAGGCTAAATTAATTATATGCATTCATTCTGAAATTTTTTCCTGATTTTAAAAGAAATTTTAAAATGTTGTGGACTCCTAAGTGTATCTTGGGCCCTAGACACTTTGTCTGCTGTGTTTCATGGATAAGTTGGTCCTGGGGGCCTGTCTGTGTGTGTGTGTGTGTGTGTGTGCGCGCGCGTGCATGTGAGGGAGTGCTTCCTACAGAGGCAGCATGTGGACTGGGCCTTGAAGGCTGGTAAGGTTTGGTTGTGCAGATACATGAGGATGAGTGTTTGGGGCAGGGTGGGTGGGAGCATAGCATCTCAGATGCTGGGTGAGGGGGCAGCTGGAGTGGGTCAGGGGTGGCCCACAGGGTCCCTGCAGCCAAGCTGGGTGTTCCTGGCAGGTACTTTGTTCAAACTGGAGAGACAGCTGGTCTAACCAGGATGTTACTGCTTTTCTTGCTCCCCCTGCAGTGTATCTCGCCTGTTCTCAGACGCTCGGCGGCTTCTCTTGTACAGCCACAGAGACACCAGCATGAAGGACATACGCAAAGTTTTGAAGACGTTATACCAGATCGAGCGTTCCAGCTCACGTAAGCAAAAACCGTCTGTGAATTGGCTCGTAATTGGAAATGAACCTGCACCAGGGAGAGACAGCAGCTGACGCGTCCTGGCGCTTGTTCCTTTCAGCTCTTTCTGTGGGGTTTTCCTCCGCAGTGGCTAGGCTGCAAGGCCTCTCTGCAGGATGTATTTGAGAAGAAAGTATGGAGATTATGAGTGCCCTGGCCTCCTCTGGGCACATAAAAGAAACCCCCTAGAGAGGAATGGCACTGGCCTGGCTTAAGGACAGTTAGGGGTGCAGGTTGCTGCCAACCTCATTTTATGGAGTTGGCCATATGGTTGCCATGAGTGGGCAGATGTGTAGACAGGGGATGCTTCTGTGTGTATAAGAGCAGATAAAGTTGCAACTTGATATGGATAAGTGAAAGTTACATGTTCACTTCTAAAAGAAAAATGCAGTTCATCATCCCCCTAATCATTTGATTTAGTCAATGAGCATTTGAACCTCTGATCTCTAAACAGTGACATCCTTATCTCTGATCCAGTGAGGGCCCGGGCAGTTTATTGCCATCTAGGAAGCAGCTGGGAGCAGGCAGCTGGCTGGCCGAGGCGCTGGCTGCAGAAGTAACTGTGGAGCAGCCTCCCAGGCAGTGGCCGACCAGGGGGGCAGGGGGTGGTGGGAGCATGCCCCCCAGATGCAGGTTGTGATGGCCTGCGTGGTCTGTAGAGAATTCAGAAGCAGTCATGAAGCTAAGAGTCAGTCTCTTTTTATCATCTCCATGCACTGGTGGTTCTAAACAGTGTTGAGTGATAAATTACTCCGTCACCAGTCAGCTGCCACCACCGCTCCAGGAAAGTGCTTTTTTCTTAGTTCGGTGTTGGGAGGAATAGGTGGGCTGGCTTCTGCTGAGAGGCCTCCCAGTTTGCTATCCACTTGGTGAAAACAGAAATAGTGTAAAGTGCCAGAGGTTAAACCAGGCTTGTATTGGAGCTTTCTCTTGGGTGGCTGGACTGTGCTTTACCTGGAGGCAAACTGTATGGGAGGTGGTGAGCGGGAGGTGTTGTTTCACAAGAAAAACAGGTGTGACCGTGCCTGGGCTCCGGGTCAGCTCTGAGGAGCTCCCAGCTGCTCAGCTCCTAGGTGCACAGCCAGGCCATCTGGATGCCATCTCCTTGCCCTGTAGGCCCCCACCCTGCACACCTGTCTGTCCCAGCACAGGACACAGAGACAACCACCACCAGTCAAGGCATTTGTCTTTCCTGATCTGCTGGGGGCCCCCTGCCTGGTAGACCAGAGACAGTCAGGGTTATTTCTTCTACTGCTGAGTCAGTGTGACCCAGAGGAAAGAGTACTACAGTGTATTATCTTGTAGCTTGGTGACTTTGTGAATAAGTCCTTTTAGGCCTTTTGGGGCCACACTTCTCATCTGTAAAATGGAGCCAGTAGGAGAACTTTAGCTCATAGGATTGTTGTGAGGAGTAGAGGAGTTGAAACATTTAACTGCATATAAAAACTGCATCTGGCACCAAGGAAACACTTAGTGAATATGAGCTATGATGATTTTGGAGTGCTATCTTGGCCAAGCCGTTTAACCTCTCCAAGCCTTCATTTCTTCAGCTATGAATAATAGGTAACTTGCCGTGTGAAATGTGAACCCTCACACAGTGTCTGGCGCATGGTAGATGTTCAATAAACAGGAGCTGATTTTACTCCTGTGCATCAGTGATGTATTTCTGAGCACCTGGCCTTGCTCTTCTGCCTTCCACTTCGTGGCTGGAGAAATGGACTGTGAATGGGGGACAGGGCGGGGAGTAGTTTCAGATCTCGGTGGGTGCTTCCTAAGATGCAGATAAACGAGAGACGAGTCAGGGTTGAGAAGAGAAGCCAAACCTGCATTCAGACAACTTTCTCCCCATAGCTCTGAAGAGAGATCTCTGATTACGGTTGTCTCCTATCAAAGCTTATCTCTCCCTTCACCCTTGTCTGCCCTGCAGCTACTTCTTAGGGCCACTTCTACCCTGCAGCTTCCACCTTTCTTGGCTGTCTTGTAGCACTGAGCCTGGCCTCAGTCCAGAGGGAGATGTAGAGAAATGTTGCTTCTTCCGAGGTGGAATCAGTAACTTTTTGCTGAATTTGAATAACACTCTAGATGTCAGAGGGGTTTCCCAGGTGGCACTAGTAGTAAAGAACCCGCCTGCCAATGCAGGAGATGTAAGAGACGTGGGTTTGATCCCTGGCTCAGGAAGATCCCCTGGAGGAGGGCATAGCAACCCACTCCAGTATTCTTGCCTGGAGAATCCCATGGACAGAGGAGCCTGGAGGGGCCTGGAGGGCTACAGTCCATAAGGTCACAAAGCATCAGACACAACTGAAGTGACTTAGCACGCACACATGCATGCACTAGATTTCAGAGAGTCCAAGGCTGGGGTATATCAGTGTAGATCCTGACTTGGAGACCTGTTTCTCTGCAGTGAAACCCCTACTCAGAGGCTCAGCTCTCTTGTGCTGTCACTCTGCAGATGGAAAGGATCTTTGGTTGGAGTCCTGCCCTCATCAACCTTCTCTGCCTATTCAGGGGTGGCAGGTGGCAGGGACCTGCCTCTCCCATGGCAGCTCATTTTGGGTATTGGCAGAATACCAGTATTAGAATATTGGTATTCTAATTATCAGAATATATTCACTGGTCTTCTGTACCGCCCAGAGAAAGAGGCTGGCCTATTTCCCTTGAAGTGTTTATAGACAACTCTTGTGTTTCTTTCCCTCTCTTCCTGAAGTCTGTTGTCATCTTAGGCTAAAAGTCCTCCATTCCTCTTCTGAAATGTCTACCACACCCCGCACTTCCTGATTTCTGCCTCTCAGAGGAGGCAGTTGGTTGTGTTTCAATGTTTCTTTGTCTTTCTTGAAGTTTATCAGAAATTACAACAGTCTTCCAGCACAGAGCAGAAAGGGATTTTCAGTCCCTTGCTCTGAGCACCATATTTCTGTAATGTAGCCTTGGATTGCATGAGGCTTTTTGGCATCCACGTCACACAGTTGACTCATTCTCCATGTGCAGTCAACCCAAGCTGCAGAGCCTTTTAAATACAGAGTGTCGCAAGTTACTTGTTCTCCATTTCTGAATTGTGCTGTTGACTTTTTGAACCTAAAGGGAGAGTATCTATCTCTTTTCTGTTTTACATTTTTAGATTCCCTATGTCATCTCTTCCTACTCAAACTGTTTCAGATTCTGTTTTTGCCATGTGTTGTATTTACTAGTGCTGCTTGTTCCCTGTCATGTAGAAGTTTGATAAATAGCTCTCTTTGTTCTCATCCAAGTCGTTGGTGATTGTGGGACCAGCGTTGGAGGTTTGGATCGGTCCACTGGAGACTAACAGCCCCTTTGGACAGTGCCATTCAGGCTGTTGCAGACCTACCAACTGATGTTGTCTTTGTGCTGGGCCACCGGGCTCCTGGGATCTGGTTAGAGGACTTATCTTGTTCTTCCCTTTCACTCCACCTGCTAACTCCATTGATACATCCACAGATAATTTGTGGACAGGGGGATGTCTGCTCAAATACTCTTTTCTAGTCCCATGGTTTGCTGGCTTAGGGCATTGTTTTATTTCCACTTGGATGAGACCTTAGATGTCAGTTAGTTCACTTATAGACAAATGGGTTGACTGAATCAAATGTTCAGCCAGTATTTATTGAACACTAATATGTCCCAACCTCTATTCTAGGTGCTGGGACATAGAGGTGTACAGAACAAATATGGCCCCTGTCCATACGGAACTTCTATTCTAGAAAAAAGACTGTGATCCAGCCAGGGATGGGGGAGGGACTTTCCCAAGTTTGCATAGCCACCAGAGGGATATTCTGGGAATGGAATACAGCTAAACCTCTGCTGCTCCATGCAGTGCTATTTCTACAGCTGTTCTAGCTGTTCCATTAATCTCCCAACTGGGAGGACCTCCAGTTCAAGAGTTAAGTCATAGTCAAGCCTACATATCCTTGAAACCATCCTAATAAGCACATGTAGGAAGCTTTACAGAGGGGCCTCACTCAGTTTTCTCATCAATGGAACTTTTTGGACCTTTTGTTTTCTTCCTAAATGTATATCCATCCAGGTTGGACAGGGGTTAAATTAATGTTTGGGAGTCTAGGTGAGGAGCATTTCACTCTTCTTAAGACCCCATCATGACTCCATCCCAGTGGAAATGTAAAAGTTGCACAAATTCTCAAAAGCTCTGGAAGAAGTGAGAGGTCTAGATTCTGTCTCTGTGAGATGCAGTCTGGCAACAAAGAGCATTTCTTTAAGTGAATCTTGTATGATATCTGAGATGGTTTTGAGCAGTACACAGATGACAACTTTTAATTTTAACCCACCTCAAAATAATTTCATGGTATTATTGCTTAGGAAGCTGTTAAATAGGGAAGAAATTACTTAAAGTTAATTTAAAGACGATATCATTTTCTGTGGGTGTGGTGAAACTTGTGTGAGTAGTTTTGTAGAGATGGAAGATTGGAAATTGCTGCTGTGATAGAAGGCATTTTGGGTTTTGTATTAAGATTTGTTTGGGATGAGTGATGTCACCAAGATGGTAAAAATAGGTCTTTGCTGACTTTGCTCCCCCCACAAAAAGATTCCTTTGGGGAACAAAATCAGGCTTTGTCCCTCATTAAGTGTGAAACTTGGGCATGCTTTGATTTATTCTGAATAAATTAAATTTACCCTCAGTTTACCTGAAAAATGGAGATCAGGTAGTCTGTGGGTTGTGTTTAGTTGCTCAGTCGTGTCCGATTCTTTTCAACCCCATGGACTGTAGCCCGCCAGGCTCCTCTGTCCATGGGAATTCTCCAGGCAAGAATACTGGAGTGGGTTGCCATGCCCTCCTCCAGGGGATCCTCCCAAACCAGGGATCAAAACCATGTCTCCCACCTTGCGGGTGGATTCTTTACTATCTGAGCCACCAGGGAAGCCCTGGGGTTGTTGAATGTTACATCAGATGACGTTGTGTGGATGGATGACTGATAGTGAGGTCATAGCACACA